GGGGGGGGGGGGGGGGGGGGGGGGGGGGGGGGGGGGGGGATGTTGACGACAATGTTACGCAAACACACCCAACAGTACCACCACAAGAGCCGTTTTACTCGGTATTTACAGTACTTTCGTCATGTCGGACTTTCTTACATTTGCTGCTGCTGTTTGAGGTTTGGTGATGTTGGTGATGAAATGTGTTTGAGGTTTCGTGATGTTGGTGATGAAGTGTGTTTGAGGTTTCTGATGTCTGTGCAAAGCACTCAGTCGAAATCTCCAATCTGTGCGGCGCTGTAACTTGTCATGGGTGCGACGATTTAGACTTAGCTGGTGCACCCAAAAGACACAACAGAACGCTTGGGCCAGGCTGCGCAGCTTCTGATGCATCCAGCAGTGCGCCGGCATCTTGATAGAAGGTCTCCCGGTCCTGGCAATCGAGAGTGGAGGTGAAGCATTTACGAACGTGCTGCCGGAAGAAAACCGTCACTCCAGCAAATCACAACAGCAACAGAGCCGACATTGCTTTGGGGACTTGTTCTCTCGCTTGCAAGAGTGCCTCATCTATTGATACCGATGACAGATCATCCCGGATCCTGAATCTGAAGATGTCGAAAACCTCACGGCATGCAAGCTGAGACACAAAACACAGAGAACTCGCGTGACGACAAGAAGCCGAGGAAAGCAACAGCCACCACATGCCACCAAACAGGAGTCAACAGAAAGCGGGAAGAGGCCCCAACTAAAGACTGAAAGACCTCAGAGATGCACAACATGGCCACATCGGACCCAACCATCCAACAGCAGAACCACGCCAAATATGACAGAAAACAAAAGAACGCATGTCGAGCAGCCATGTACGTGGGCCACGAATGGCCACTTTCATCATTCGTAGTCGTAATCACAACCAAGCACGGGGATACTGCTGCAGTGTACGGAGCAGGCAGCGCGTGCATGTTCGAGTGCAGAAGCCTCGGCTGCTGAGGATGGCGCTTCAAAAACACACCTGCGCCAGACAGATTGTAAAATTGTGCTACTGCATGCGGCTGCAACCGAATCCCCGCTGACCTTTGCACCCTATCTTCTCAGCAAGCAAACGTGTCGACTGGAGAGCCCGGCTGATGCCAGTGGCATCCTTTCGGTTGTTCTCTTGGTTGACGACGAGGCCGCTGCGATGCTTGGCCTTAGGTGCTTGCAGCTGTTCATGCAATTAAGTCACCGCAGACACTCTCTCACTTCCTCTCGCATCCCCTCGCAGCTGTCAGCCCCTCCACCATTCTGGCTGGAAGGGCTGGGCTGTAGAGGACAGGGAAAGACGAGAAACATGTCCCCATTTGGGGGCCTGTATGCTAGCACAACGGTTTGTGCCTGAGATGCTTGAAACCGCTGATACAATCCCAAAGATCGAACGAAAGCAAGCGTGCCAAATGAAACAGCCTCGCTCTCCCTCTCCCGATCTCTCTATCCATCCATCTACGTATCTCTCTTTCTTTTCTTCGCCAGGGGTAGGGGCGAGGGGGAAGCTCCCCCTGCCCACGCGCTGAAAACTTGGTACACTTCTCATCTATCTCTTTCTTTCGCGAGGGCTAGGGACAAGTGACAAGGGGATTGCTCCCCTTGCCCGCGCGCGTTTGCGCATCCCAACTGATCGCTCCGAAGAGTTGTCTCATCCACCATTTTGTGTGAAGGGCTATAAGCTCCCTGCCTCTCTCTTCTTCCACACAGACAAGAGCAGGCAGGCAGTCCCCACCCACTCCGCGCGCGCACGCGCCCTGGTCTCCAGTGTCTGCTGTACGACTACTGCCTCTCTCTCTCTTTCGCTCTCGTTTCTTCTCAATACTCTTACGAACTTAATGTTGCGGACTTAACAGCCCTTATCAGCCCTTCCCGTGAGTGGAAACCCCTTGTGCGCGCACACGTCCGGCCCTGTCCTGAGTTTGCCTTCCGGGGCTCTCAGTCAAACCGCGGTGTAATATGACCCTTCTTTCCCCCCCAACCCCATCCCTGCCTCTGTGTTCCCTGCCTATTCTACGGATGACTGCCAGCAAATATGCAACTGCCATCAACAGCCCGCGCACAGGAGCAAACTACTTACTGACTAGTCTCCCAGACGCCAACATGCTGTTTAATTAAAAGCAAAGTATGTGTCGAAACATGTGAACATTCATCTCGTCTTTGTCCTTCCGTCATCCTTGGAAAGCCATCATGATCACGACAGCCAGCCGCGTAAGAGGGAGTTTGCTCCTGGGCTCCTAGCAGCAAGAATACACGTCATACTTCTCCTGCTCGCGTTGGCAATATACCCACACCTGGTCAAGACAAGCAAGCTGAGGTTTCTCATGTTACATGCTTTTCGTTTTGTGTGAGTCGTCTTGAGACCCAAACTAACTGCTCCTCATCTGCGGCGTGCACTCGTCCTGCGCAAACAGCAAAGCCAGAGCAAAGCAAAGTTGGAAACCGTTCCAGGACCTCAAAGTCTTGAGCCACTCTTGAGGCCGTCGCCAGTTCGTGCTTCCGAGATGGACAATAGTTTCGACGCCACTGGCCTACCGCAACAATTTTGGGGTTCATTGGCTACCTGCTTGTCTCCAACATCTCCAACAGCTCGCGTCCAAGGAGCCTGTGCGCCGTCGTGTGGACAGCGGCCATCTCATTACTGCCTCAGGCAGCGCCGGAAGACTGCGCCACAAGTTGCAGCAAGGTCAGAAGTGAAAGCTACGGCATGACGGCATGCTTGCCAGCCTGCGGGGTCCTTCGCGCCTTTTTGTCATTGCAGGAGATACCAAGTAATTGCCTCTTCGTGCTCAGCTCGAAAGCTCAATCAAATGGTACAGCTAGTCTCGCATCCTGGCTGCGTCAAGCGGTAGGATGTGGTAGGATGTTGGCTGACAACCACATAATCCTACATTATCACTAACAGGCTGGCATCACGACTTGTTACTTCTGTTGAGCCACCACATGCAAAAGCAAGCGTCTGAGGCGGACTCTAGTCTTGCGTACCAGCGAACGCCGAACCATGCAGTTGCAGCGTGCAACGAACTGTTGGCAAAGGTTGGCACGGAGCACTGCCCTCTTTTTGACTCCTGACCCTTCACCGTACATCAGTAGGTAGCTCACCTGCATGAAGCCGAGGTGTTCGTGGCGTGCGCTGTGGACATGGGTTGCCATCCATGGCGGCTTGCAAGCGTGGTGATGTCTGGGGAACGTTCAGAGTAGATGGCGCTGGCTGTGGACCTTCTGCCCGGGCATCAGCTCTGCTAAGCCGTCTGGGTGCTGCCTGGTGCGTCTCGTCGCGCTTTAGCTGCGCCTTGAAAACTGCCAGGTCTTCCATCAGATTCATATAAACCTCAACCTTTCTTCTGACAATTTTGTCTACCTCAAGGGCATACCATTCGAGGTCATAAGCAGCGCCTTGTTGAACTTGTGATAACAGCTCGCTCTCCTTTGTTAGAAGTCGAGCATCCTCTTGCAATGCATGCATGTGCTGTGTCACAATGCGATCTTCCCAATGCCGGGACTCTGCCCAAGCCTGCGATGGGAAAACCTGCGATGCAGGTGCAAGTGCCGAGGGGCCGCCGGGGACTGCAGGACCTCCTTGGCTTGGAGCTGGAGGCTTGTCCTCGTACTCTTCGTCTTCGTCTAAGAGCTCCTCTTCAGAATGCAAATCAAATACTTCGTCCTTGGACAAATCGGGAACTGTTCCGCTGTTCGGTCTTTGCCGAGCGCCGGCAATAGCTCCACGCTCGAGCTTCGTCGGCGATGGACTTCGCCGCTGCGACTGAAGCTTGCGGTCTGGACTTTGGGTGCGAATTCCTGTGGACAAGCGGCGTCCTGCTGCAGAGTCGCCGTCCTCAACTGTTTTACCGCTGCGTGGGTGCTCTTTCAACCGATCACTGTAGCGGAGGGTATTCACACTATGGTCAGCCGAAGCCATGCCTGGCGAAATGCAGGCGATCATAATGGTCTTGGCCGGGCCACGTGATATAAAAGCATCACGCAGCACCAACGTCAGCTTGGAAGCTCTGAAGGGTACATGTGCCTCCCGCCGATCACCCATGGCACGGATGCACTCCTTGAGTGCTAGCAATGACTTGTTGATTTGGGCGCCCTCAACTCGTCTCTGACGGATGCTAGACTTGGAGTCTGCTGCTCGCTCAGACCCGGCCAGGTCAACCAAAGTGACTTTGCCGTGAATGCTTCCTCCACCCGTCTTCCGGAGAAAAACAACACAAATAGCATGGGAGCGTGATGAGTCTCGATTGATTGCAGTGCCCTGAGTGGTTCGGAGGGAGTTTCCCAAGTCGATGCACTGCTGCATCTCTTGTGGGTTTGCGGTGCCCCGCTCGACGAGACCTGCAATCTGGACCTCATTATTCGCATCCTCTAAAGTCTCCAAGCGCTGTCTGTTGTTCAATAGGTCATATGGCCTCCCACCATAGATTTCGAAGAATGAAATCGACACCGTCAAATCCAAAGCGGAACTGCGCCGGACATGCTCAAAGAGCTGCTCAGTGAGCAAACGTTGAATGCCAGTCATTGTGAAAGTCTTGCCTGACCCCGTTTGTCCATAAGCAAACAGTGTGGCACGACCACCCTTTGCCAGAACCCATGGTACGACGGGCGATGCCACTGTTGTGTACACATCCTCAGTCGTACATTCTTCGTCGAAGACTCTGTCAAATTCGAACTGATGGGACTCGAGGCACTTCGTAATACCATCCACTTTCAGTTTTGTCTCGTGGACCACAGCACAAGGATTGCAGGCTGTGACACAATCCAATTCCGAATTTGTCACTTCATGCTGCATGATGGGCCGCTTCCGCACACACACAAGGACACCATCAGGGGCAGCTGGATCTAGTGGCTCAAAATGTACTGGTTGAGGGCACTGCTGGCGGTAGTTCTGGATCATTCGATGAAAATCGATGTCCGGCACATGTCCTCCACACTGGGCGCCCAGAAGTGCTGCCTCCTCCTGTCGACTGCGTCGCACCTCTTCTGCCTGTCGTCGCCTCTGTTCCCTGTTGGCATCAATGCGACGAATCTCTTCGACAGTGGAGGATGTCACTCGGCGAACAGTAGGCTGCGCGCTCTTGCCCAAGGACCCTGACCCGACAGGTCCACCCGAGGCTATGGATGTCCTCGCTCCCGGACCACTAGGATTTGGGGCAGAAGACTTGCCCAATGCTGGGGACCGAGCTCTGTTGGCGCCAGTCTTTGTCTCAGGTGATCTCGGGCGTGCAAGGCCAGCATTTTGCCCGGGCTGCCCTGACCGCCGATTGCTGGGAATGCCCACATTCATGCGGTCAGATTGCTTGGACTCCCTCCCTGCTATGTACTTCTAAGCCGAAATCAGCGACAGACATGCTGAAACACCAAGCCAGGAACGGATTCAACTCCACAAATTTCGGCTCAGCAAATCGGCCTGCACACATGACCATACAGATCATACAGTCCAAACATGTATGGTTCCACGTAGCACCCTCAGCAAATGAAGCACGCAGGCAATCCCTGGTGCTGCACGCTGACCGAGGAACATGTGGATCCTGACAGGTGCCCCCTCCCTGCCACCAATGCCGTGCATGCTGCCCAGTATTTCGAAAGTTCGACCTGACCTCACCAATGACGAATGCACACGTGCGGGCGCGGGGAAACTATGTTAGCCGATTACATTGCAACATGCTCAAGGCGAGGTCCGAGCCTCACCGGAACAAGACTTCACAAAACACAGACGCTTTTGCTTACGCGTATTTTACAGATACTGAGAAAGACGCAAAAGAAACTCGCAGCTGAATCTCCAAGCCCAATCTATGCGAAAATTATCTGTATTTTTCGTAGAGTGCTCGGATGCGGTCACCCTGACCGGTGGGATGCGAGGCTTCTCTCTCCCTCGGTTTCGAACTCCAAGACGCGGCCTGGGTTGGCATGAGCCAGACCAAGCACACTTGCCAAACGGGTGGCAGTTCCTTTGATACTCCAACGAGTGTGGGTCCCAACGTGAAAGAACTTCCAATAAAGAAGCTCACGAAGCTCACGCTTTGTCATGCTAGACAGGATGCCGGTCGCTGTTTCCGCGTGCCTGCATTTCGCGGTTGGGAAAGGATTTTCCGCCGGCTTGGAAGTGTATGTCCTCACAAACTTCCGTTCCGGAAAGCGTCTTCATGGAGATTTCCGTTGTTGGCACACACGCAGACCATGCCTCGCAGACCAGTGCATGCACGGCGTGCCATGGGGTTTGGCAAGTTCTGGCTTTGAAATCGGATTTGAAAACTGATTGTTCTGACCTTTGCGTCACCAGGGAGGGCTAGAATTTGCAATGCCTTGCACTGGCTTCCGCTGCAGGGCGTCCTGAAGGCGTTCTCATAACCGACGTCCAATGCACTGCCTCTCGTGGGCCGGTGCACCATGTGTGTTTGGGACAGTTGTTTGTATGATGTTACCTTGTCAAACCGAGCGTCTACATGGTGGTATGCGGTTTCCGGGATGTGGATCTCGGGTGCATTCTGCACATATTCCGAGGGCTGTCGCAGCATTTCCATCGAATCACGCAGTTGGCATCAATTCGCTTTCTGCTTCGATGCCATGTCATATCGCGCCTCGCGCGGGTGATCTATTTGTGCTGTGACACTTGCTGTGACTATATCTGTGACTTTTTGGAACGTGATGTTACTTTCGCCGGTTCGCGTGTCACATTGACGGCACGCAGCACTGCGGCGAATTTCGACTGTGTGCCACGACGTCTGGCCACCTCCACGATCCCCCAGGCAGCCCACAAGTTAGAACCCGAAAGCCGAAAGCCACGGCCGCTTGGGGTGACTTCGCTCCTGCGGCAGGTGGCGCAAGGTTTTGGTGCGAATATATGCTATAGTGCTTGTATCATCTTGTACTGTAGCTTACCACCGGCTGGCTGACACAGCGGGCTCTGGTTGTCGAGCGGGAGTGTTCCGTGTTGCCCGCGACGCGGTTGGACCTCTGCTTTTGAGAACGAGCAGGCTGCATACACAAAGTTCGCGATGAGGCCCGACGCCCTGCTGTCCTCCGCTCAACAGTACTTTGGGGGACACTGGAGCGGTTCGTAAGCGACATGACGCGATACGACACGCTTGCGCGACTGCCGAGTGCCTTCCACAATCCGGGGCACCGCATCAGGTTGGATTCGGTGATTCGCAGCCATTGCCATGTCTTAACCCGACCACGAACCCCCAGTCAGACGCTGACCGCATCGCTTTGGCCAGCAGCACCAAGCTCCGAGTGGAGGCGAAAAAAGGTGGCAGCAGGCGTGGCGCCGCAACGGAGATGAGGCCAGCACGTGCCCGGGCAAGGAGGCGAACAAAAGTGGCAGAGCGCGCAACATGATGCCCGAGTGCTTGGGGAGCGCCCCGTCGGACGCCGTTTACAGGGTCGCGGCCTTCGCGGGCTTGCCACCCGATTTGGGTAGTTTGGGCGTACAGAACACAGAGCGCACAGCGCCTGCTGCATACTGGACCGATGCCTTTCTCGTTTTGCATGCACGCTGCCCGGGATTCCTGCGTGCAAGCACTTGAAGGACCATCCAGTCGGAAGGGTGGGACGTGTGCCCTTCGTGGGTAGCGCTGCTGGATGGTGCCGCTTTGGCGACTGGCCATATGTGCGACCCATTTTATCGCGACCGCGTGCTGCTTCCATCCTTGTCGCCGTTGGACCACGCGCTCCTGCGTTCGCAGGCGGGTGTTCGCAAGCTGGCGCATGACTGACAAGTGTACCTTCCGAACCAGCGCTCACGTTGGCGCCTGCGGAGCTGCAGATCGCCGTGTTGCGATGTGTTGCGAGAGTTGCGAGGGCTGCTGCGACTCCCATTTCCGTGAGCACAACCCAAGGACCAACATGGATACGGAGCGGAGGTGCGGAGGTGGGCTTATATGGCGACCACGCACTAACACCAACATGCTTGCGAGAACTTTGCCGTGGGCATCCGTGGGCCAAGCACAAGCTCGTTGTGCTCGGATTCGAGACAAGCGGCCGGTCTAACGAGGACTCGTCCCGCTCCTTCCTCATTCTCTTCCGCTTACACGTCCTCTGCGAGCACCGCCGGCTTGATCGGCTTGGCTAGGCGGCAGCAGCGGCTGGGCTCAGCGGTCTGTGGACGCGGCGGCGCGCCGGCTGGACCATGTCTGGAGCATTCGCTCAGACTGGCCGAGGCCGCCGACCTTGCCCCAGCCCCTTTGTATGTATGGGGTAGCGTGATGTAGGTTGACATTTTCTGCCACTGCACCGCCGGCAGTTGCCCGCGCGGAGCGTAGCGGGAGGCGGCTCGGGCCTACGGGCTCAGCGAGCGCGAAAACGTGGTCCAAGGCAGGTTCGTAGCAGCAGTAGTGGTAGTAGTCGTCGTGGTGGTGGTGGTGGTGGTAGTGGTAGTGGTAGAGGTAGTGGTAGTGGTAATGGTAGTGGTAGTGGCGCTGCCGCCACCGGCCGGCTTTCCCGCAGCGAACGCTCGCTCCGCTCCCCCCGCTCCGCGCGCTGGGCATACAACTGCTGGAGTTGTTGATGCTGACCTGTTGCATGCTAGCCCTTCCCAGTCCCCTTCTCGAGTGGGCGTGCCCCTGCCCCTTCGCAGGTGTCGTGTCGGCGAGGCTAATCACCCAGGTCCCCCGCACACGACAAACCCACACGACCCGCGAGCAGAACCTTGCAAGCTCCCAGTGGGCGCGGCCCGGCACGCGAACTGCCTCTGCACGAGCCGCAAGCTCACGGCAGGGCCGAAACTACCGCGGGCGACAGGGATCGTGCAAACGCCGACCTAGCGCAACGCCGCCACAGGGCTCTGCATGCTCTCGCTCAAATGCAGTTGCTCGGATCGGGCGGCGAGGCGTGCGGACCAAACGGCGGATGTGCTATCGAGGGCGGTGGCGACACCGGCAATGCTTCCGCGGCCGAAACGCTTTCTGACACGCTGTCAGCGGATACGCCGTTCGCATCGCCCAGGGGCAGCATCGCTCACGAGAACCCCGGCCGCGCCGGGGGGCGCCGCGCCGGCACCTCCCGAAGAAGCCACGCCCGGGTTCACGCCAACAGATGAGCCGCCTCCGCCGCACGCCGCACCATGGCTGACAGTGGGCCCACCACAAGTCGCGCCGGGCTCCCGACACTCCTGGCTCTACATCCCGTTGCTGTACGCCGCAGCGGGGCGTCTCAGACGCCGCCGCATCCGCCTGGAGAGAGCTATATACCCAGGTTCGGTGATCGATGGGCAACGCTCGTCGACTGCTTGCGCAACTCCGCGCCAGCCAGCCCGCATACACTGGTCCGTTTGATCCGCGCGATCGCGGAGCTGGACGCACAGGAGGCGGCGGCGGGAAGCACAGCGGCCGACGACGCAGCAGCGGCCTCGCTCGGCTCGCTGCCGGAGGCACCGCTTCCGCTGTCTGCCGCGTTGCTGCTTTGCGCCGAACCTGACGGCTACATACCGGCCGCCTCGCAAGTGGCCCTCCTCGAGACTTACGGAGGCATACCCTGCGCCGCTGCAGCACAAGCCCTTGCCGCCGATGTCAAAGCGACGTTCCACCGTGACGATGCCGTCCCTGTGCCAGCATGCCCCCCGAGGACATCGGATGGTCAGGAGCCCGGCCCGAACCCGCGCGGCCGCGGTCGCCACCGAGGCAACGGCCGCCGGGGCAGCCAAGAAAAAGAAAAGAACCCCCGAACCATAGGCTACCACAGACCCTATGACAGGCCCTATGCACCCCTGTCCACAGGCCTGTGATAGGCTCTGCGCGCCCCTGTCCAAGGCCAACGACAGGCCTTACGGCCCCCCTGCAGTCCGCACAGCGTTTGTGCAGGGCCCTGAAAGGGTCCTGTCCTATCCATAGGCCCTGTCCACCCCTGTCACAGGCCCTGCCCACCCCTCATCCCTTGTTCACAGGCCCTGTCCTAGCCCTGCGGACCACGGTCATGGGCCCTGTCCATATAGGCATTGTCAACCCCTGTCATAGGCCCTGTCCACCCGTGTTATGGCCCTGTCCATAGGCCCTGTCACTGTCCTTAACCCCTGTCCACCTGTCATAGACCCTGTTGTAGCCCTTGTCGACCCTTGTCACAGGCCTAGTTCTTTCCCACGCCGCCTCCCTCCCCTTTCTCCCTCTCTTCCTACTACCTACTTGTCTGTCATTCAATGTGATTTCCCCAATGCTTTACAGTGTTTCGAATCTATCTTCCAGACAACTCGCATGAATCTTTCCAATCTGACGATGTTGATCCGATGCAGTTGTGCGTGATAGGCAAATCTGACGAAGTTGATCCGATGCCGATTTCATAATAATATTCACA